AGTAGAGATGTTAAAGTGTTGCTAAGATTTCAAATCTTACCTCATATTTACCTCTTAAATAAGAGATAAGACAAGATCGATCGTATCGGTTTGTTCATTACCAGTATGATACAGACTTTATCGATTTCCATTGAATTTTAATAATATTTATTATAAACGTGATCTCAACTTATATTCGAACTCCCAGAGTTGATGGTTTACATCTAGACTAATGATAAAATATTTCTTTATTGATTTAGCAATCTGAATTTTTGTCTTGAGAACGGGATTCTATCTAACGAACCGACTTTGATATTTATTTTTACGATTCTTTGTATATTACCAATAATTTAATTTTACTTCAGATAGTTATAAGATTTCTTACTTTTATTTATTATTACATAAGTTAAATTTATCAAAGAGGTAAATTAAATTACAATATTCGTACTACAGTCTACCCCAACAATTTACTATATTTTTATATTTAAGCATATTACTGCGAGTTGTTTAAATTTAAAACAAAAATTTTACTAGTACAATATCCTCTCTTTCCAAGTTTCAGACGGGATTCGAACTCGCATGTTCCGGAACCGAGTGAAAAAAATCTAGATATTTTTATCTTTAAATTTAAATCAACAAATAGTTTCAAAATAGGTAATGCCATTGTCAGTAATCTTAATCAGTCAAGGTCGTCGGTCGGTAAGTCGGTACCTGTTGTAGTGCTACGTAATTATGTATTATTTCGCACCCACGACATGACTGATTGATTACTGATAATCGCGGTCATTTGTGTGAAATAACACCCGATTACCTGTAGTGCCGTAGTACTGGGAGCGAATAGAATATTGAATGCGTTAGCTGCTAACATCTCTCCGATGCAGGTAATAAAAGCGTATGGCGAGGTTTTCATGACTTCATCTAGTACGATGGAATTGGAAGAGTTCTTGAGCTCTATTTATGGTTGTGAGCAGGGGCGTATTTTAAAATATGACGCCTAGAATCAAATCAAAATATAGTTCCTTTTTGTTTCCTTTTCATTTTCGCTTAGGCGGGGGAAGGGTTGTAAAATCCTCATGGAGCTGATTAGCTACAGCCGGCTGTAGGATTATGTCAGACTCTTACTGACTTCAACACCCCACGGGGGATGACCACAAGGGCCTTACAGGCTTCACCTGATGAGTCATCCCTTCATCCCCATGATGTAGCGCTGCCTGATTTATCTACTGCATAGCGCGCTAAAAGACGGATGCACTCTGACGTGCACTTGATGCGGATTGAGACTAAGCGACTGACAGCTTCTCAGGATCGGAAAGGTGGTGCGCCCACCCATCTCGTGCGCTGCAATTCTCACTAATGTTCTCGGATGCCAGAAAGGCCTCGAGGTCACGCGAGAGGTTGTGACCTTACCATCGCAGCGCCCCAGCTGCCCTCTGCTGATGAACGGACGAGGAATACACTGGTGCGATCAATCTGGCTCTGCGAAATGGCCAACCCGCATGCCCAGCGTGGCCATTCATTGGGTAAAACCTTTATGGGAACAAGGACACAGCGACAGCCCCCCCAATCCCCGGCAGCCCCGCTGTCTCTGCCTTTGGCAGCGGCCAGCGGTATTGGCGGGGCAGAGGGTGCTAAGAATCTCCGGAAGAGATTCCCCTGCCCTGACGACTATATTGATGAAGATGCAGAGAGTAAATTGCGCTGGGAATTTATTGAATTATATGAAGTCCGTAGAGAGGGGTAGGACTAGATAATCCTCCATTCTGGCAATTTATTTTACTACCGGGAGGGAGAGCATCAGTCCGAAGGTGGTGTCGGCTTCGTCGTCCACAAGTTCTTCGTTAACAGCATTATTGAAATCGGGAGAGTGTCGAGCACGGTACCGTACCTGATACTCAGAATTACCGCACGGTATTCATTGAAGGTCATACAGGTTTACGCACTGACCTCGGTACAACCTGACGAGGTGATTAAGGTTATGTATGAGGATAACCAAAGTCATACATACTGAGACCTCGTACTATAATGTTGTGATGGGGGATTTTAACGCAAAGCTGGGCGAGCGTTACTGGATGGTAAGAGGCATATTGAATATCAATATTAAGCTTGAAAGCGTACTATATCGATATCTAAAAAAATTGTTCTTATTTACCTAGTTGGGAGATGTACCTTCATTGTAAATCGGTTGTATTTTCGATACGCAATAATACTTTATTTAGTCAGACATCCCATTGTAATAAATGACCTTTATATTATTCTGCATTTGAGTATGACTGACGAGTTCAAGCTGTTTCCTCGCCTTATTCATAAGGAGTCCAAAGTATAATATGTAGTTTTCACATAAAAAAAGAAACATTTACTTACACGATAAACACTTTTATTTATAGCAATTGCGTGTACTGAAATAACTATCTTTATGTGCTCGAATCATAGAGAATCACTGCCAATGCGGCCAGGAGACTCCGTTTTGCTCTATGACTCGAATATCCTGAAACGCATTATCAAGTCATGAATATTTCTGTAGTTGTCATTGTCAGGTACCTAGGTAGGTATTCTTAATCTGCTATTGATATTTATAATTAACCCTTTGACCTTATGATTATTCTAAGCTATGGCACATAATCTTTTGTTGGATTTGAAAATTGAATACTGATTCCTTAGATTGATATCCCAGATAGTTACCAATTACCATCTAGATTTAGAACCTACCTAGAACTATCTACCAAAGGGAATATAAAAAATCACCAAGATAGTTTACCTAAGGTACCTAGTAGAAAATTAACTTAACTGACTGTGCGGTAGTGGAAAAAGATATTGCAGTGCCTAATAAGAAGTATATAGCAAACCAACCAAATATTATAATTTGAGTTACGAGGTAGGCAGGCGCTAAAATAAATGTTGATCACGACGATGTTGATGACGTGCTGATAGTATGGAAATTTTCTTAAAAAAATGCCCATTTAGGCCATTTGTCGGAGTAAAAACGTATTTAAAACTATTTGTTTCTTAGGTTTTCACGCACATCACTCATTAAATAAAACTAGTTTTTCACGGATTAGTGCACGAAACTTTATTTATTTATTGACGTTTCGCAGCCTTTACAGGCTGCTTCATCAGAAACAGTTAAAAAAAATTTAAAGAAAATTCAACAACAAATAAATCCACTCAGTTCAGATTTTAGACGGGAATCGAACCCGCATATTTCTCTTCCGGGAAGATCCTGTCCGAGTACCGTCTGAAAACTGGACCGTTTTTTTATCCTATACTTATGTCAATACATGTTATAAACTATATGTGTGCCAAATATTATCTAAAGCCGTTTTCCGTTTTTTTGTTAGTGAGTAAAAAAACTGAAAATATAGGCTCAATAATTCTTGAGACCGAAAAAAAAACGTACCAAAAGAAAGAGAACACATTGAAAAAAAAAACAGTCAATTGCGAGTTTGACCCGCGCACAAAGGGTACGAGTAAATAACAGCAAAAAATCACATCTGTTGTATGGGAGCCCCTCTTAAATATTTGTTATATTCTGTTTTTAGTATTTGTTGTTATAGAAGCAATAGAAATACTTGATCTGTGAAAATTTCAACTGTCTAACTATCATGGTTCATAAGATACAGCCTGGTGACAGACAAATGGACAGCGGAGTCTTAGTATATTATTAAGACACTGATGTCCTGTTTTTACCCTTTGGGAACGGACGGACACCTAAAAAGGAGAAAAATAAATTACGAGCTATTTGAGTTCGGAAGGGTGGGGGTGACCTTATAAGGGGGAAAACGGTTTATCTGTAGAAAAAAATCTATGGCAAAATTATAGATATTGAAAAGAAAACGAAATAATAAGATCAGAATTTTTGTTCATACTCGTAGTACATACTTATACCTCATTCAAAAGAAGCACCGAAAGAAAAAGTTTTAGGAAAGTTTTTACACCGATTCTCAAGAACGAAAAAAGTTTGGGGACTATTTACAATTCATAATTGGTATGTAGTTGACGCTAATAAAATGTAAGTAAGATTAGTTATGTAAAAACTAATGTGTAATGTGTATATTTTAATAAAATGAGTAAAGCAACATTTTTGACCTTGCTTTAGAATGTGAATCCGGCATAATACAGTTTTTTATTTTTTCACTGTCAGTTAAAGGGTTCATATTATTTATTATTCTGTCATTTAAATACACATAAGTCTGGTCATCTCTTTTGGCAAAGCGACACAGTCCAAGTGCAATCTGTGTGATATTAGTATTTGGACGGAGCGTTTTTTCGATGATTTATCGCTGGCCAAGAGTTCAGCGTAGGCAATTGATACTTTTTTATCGCTTTATACTCTAAAGTTTATTATATATATAATAGCTTAGCATCAGGCCACTGTATGTCACCATTTTTACATAGAGAGAAACATCATAATTTTTGAAGTCGGTGAAAATAATACGGTCATGTTATACACAGATCACTGGCAACTAACTACGGCATACTGCCCACGTCCCCACAGCAGAGCACAAGTCTTCCTGAACCCTATTCAGGCTTGAGCTGTGACTCAGTGCAATTGGTAGATGCTAATGACTGCAGATGCAGCCGGGACCAACGGCTTAGCGTGCATTCCAAAGCACGGAGGAACTTGAAACAGTTAATTTTTGGTCACCCATTCGATGACCGGCCATTACGAAAGTTGCTTAACTTTCACGAATGCAGACCGAAAAAGTTGCACCATTAAGGTCCTCTAATAGTTGTATTTTCTAATAGATTTTTGTTGTCATTCTTACGGTATGTAACGCAACCCTTAATAATTATCATTTACATTTTTTTAACAAGTAGCTTATTGTCTCAAGTATAAACAATACCATATTGGGATCCTGTTTTTAGACATTTACGGATACAAAGAAATCAATAAGTTTTATACTAATTAGAACTTGTTCTACAGAATAAATAAATCAAAAGAGGGTCGGAAGAAGGCTATCAATAAAACATTTCTAATATACATAATGAAAAACTTTATTAATTGATATACATTTGTTGCATACATAATGCAAGTTTTAATATAATACGTATTTTATAAGTAATAAAATTTTCATACTGGTAAACCTGAAAAGAAGAAATGCCAAATTAATAGTAAAATCATGAATCTATACTTATATACTAAAAAGAGGGAAGATTTGATTGTTTATCTGTTTATATCGAAAAGGCTCCTAAACTACTGAACCGATTTAAACATACAAACATTACAATCCTATATTATCCCTGATGAATATAGGCTATAGAGTATTTTCAAAAAAGTTAGGGTTCCGTATGAAAAATTATTTAATGTAACCCAGGGTGTGAAAAAAAATGCAAAAAAATAACCTTATATCGCTTACGCTGTGGAAGTCATTGACAGTAGAGAAAAGTGACGTACTAAAGTTTTATAGAGGACATAAATAGCTATAAAAAAGTCCGTGATATCATATGTCTAACTATTACAGTTAAGTATGTCACAACTTAAGGTCCCCGGTTTCACTCGTCTTAATTTGAGGAAAAAGGTTATAGTGAGCCAAACTTAAAAGATGGGTATATGTTGTCATGGACTTATTAATAGAACTTTTAAAGGGAAATAATCAGTCATACATAATTTTTGTGTAACTTTAATCATTTACGCAGCGCACGCAACGGAATCTCCCAAATGTAAAATTTTTACCCGCTTTTTCAACATTTTACATCGATACTCTACTCCAACTGGTTGCAGCGTAATGCTTTATAGCCTTAAGCCTTTCTCAATAAATGCACAATCTAACACAAAAAGATTTTTCAATCGGATCGGAAAAATTGGTGCATTTGGTACAACGGGTCCTAAACTACGCAACAAAATTTATTTTTCATTTAAATAATTTTTCATGCAAGGTTTATAATTTTAAAAATCTACGCTACATCTCTACACCGAAGCAAAGCGAGGACGGGCCACTAGTAAATAATAAAAGGTAGAATAAAAAACAATTTTACAAAAAATTCGACTAACTCGTTGTACAAAATCTAAACAAATTTCTTCTAAACAAAATTCTTTCATTCATTTATTCAGTATTTTATAAAGCGTGCGTTTGTAATGTGAAGAGTAAAAACGTTTGCATTGTAATCACTCAGAAAATGAGATGACTGCAAATAGCGATATCTAGAATGACATAAACAATCATACATAGTAACATCACGGAACAAAGAACAGTAATCGAAATAGTGGCATGAATCATGTGCAACAAGGCCGGTTGTTGTGTTTATTCACAATAGATAAACCAATGCGTATGATTGTGAATGTGTCCCCAACAATAACAAAAATATAATACCTACCTACTTTAAAATACATGATATTACATTTTGCGTATCTATAGGAAAGTATTATTGTAACTGTTTTTCGACTTTCAGTCTTTGACAAAACTACCTATATAGTGGGTAATTAATTCGCTAATAAAGACAAGTAAAAATAACACCTTTATGGAGTAACTTTTTAATTTGAGTAAATAAAAACATTCTAAGAAAAATTAAACGAAAATGCACAACAACTAAAAAGGTAAACTTGTACAAAGAACCGGTTAATACCTACGTTATTAAATTCTCGAGTTACTACTACTCATCCACTTTCAGTCATGTCAGTTTTTAAGGTATTAATCGTTATTATTATCGACACAAAAGACTATTATTATCGATACGAAAGACTTACTTTGTTTATTCCTTTCGTAGGCCGAACATACTCTTTCTTTCCTCAGCTGTGTAGTCTGCGAATTTGTTGATGCCGTAAGTTGCCGTAGGATTCTTTTTGTTGGACTCGTTTATTGTATGAAGATTCTTGACAAACGCTTCATAATGGGCTTTCTTGTCGTCTTCGTCCTTATATGATCGATTGTGGTCTTTTATAAACTGTTCAAATATTGCAGGGGCGTTATTGAGGTCGTAATGGCGCGGTTCGTCCGCCGGCGCTGCCGACGCCATCGCTACTGCGCACACAAGCAAAACAACGTTGACTAACTTCATGTTGCTCCAACACTGCATTGAACAATGATAATCGTTTCACGTTGCATTGAACGTTTTATACGTTGTTGTTCTTGGTTATGAACTATTCAAAAGCAATTGTGACGAATAAATATAATCGGTTATTAATTCATATAGTTAAAAATTTATTAGTAATGGAGTGCATATAGAATATAGCGATTTTACGTCATGTATTCTGTTAACATTAACGCGGAACGAATATGTTTAGTTTCAATATTCATTAAGAAAAGCTCGTTTTTATACGCTGGTTGGACTAATTTCAATATATTATGATTAGTTATAATTTTTATTATTTTAAAGCATGTAAGTAACTGCTTGATGTTTAAATCTAAAGAAAATATAACTAGAAAAAATTCCACGCGGACCAGGCAGCAGACGGTCCGTGAGGCCCGCGGTAGCATAATTGGTCAGTGCATTCGCCCGGATTGCGAAGGGTGGCGGGTTCGAGTCCCGTCTGCTGCCTGGTCCGCGCGGAATTTTTTCTAGTTATATTTTCTTTATGATTATTTAAGATTCCTCTCTCGTAAAAGTCACGGAAAAAATAATAATAAAAATAATAAGTTTTGAAATAGCTAACGTTTGTTATTCTGTCATCTTCTGCAATTGACAGCTTACTTCACGCATGGGTATTGTCCATTTGTATTGAGATTTACTGAAAATCAGTGAATTAATAAATTATCTAAAATAAATACTTATTTAATTTAACCAAATTTGACTTAAATCGAAACGACTTAAGGCGAGACATACCAGGCCACCCAAAAAGTTTTGCGAAAAAGTTTATGTATAAGACACTGGCCACTTGTAATGGGCTAGTTGACTCATGTCAAATTGCACTATACAAATGTTTATTTCTTACAATTTTTGGTATGACGAACCTAAATACATCGATATTTGTTTCTTAGGTTTTCACCCACATCACTTATTAAATAAAACTAGATTTTACGGGTTAATGCACGAAAACTTTATTTATTTATTGACGTTTCGTAGCCTTTACAGGCTACGTCGTTAGAATAAAACTTTTATTTAATTTGTCGAGCTACCTTCGAAAGACTTTTATTGAGCGTTTGGTTATTTCATTGTTCGATTTTTAAGTTTTATTGTCTATGTATGAATTTATTATTTAATTTACTTAATAAGGTATTTTATTTAAAATTCTTGTTTGTAATTTTGAAATTGGTATATACCAACCACCAGCTTGGGAACCTATTATACAGGAGATAAAATCCCAACCCCGAGCACACACTGCAAGACCATCAGATACTATTAGTTCTTTTTGTTTGCATAATTTAACATAAGAAGGAGATAGAAAACCTCTCTTGAGTTTGTTTCGCCGGTTCTTCTCAGGAAGGTCTCCCAATAGGGAAGATGCAATATTTTTATTTTTGTTTTCATTTTAAAGAATTCCATGTAGAATAAACCACAGATATATTAAAAAATTAAAACATTGTGATTTATCGGAAAAAATGCGGTTTTAAATTGACAATTTAAATTTTCGCGCGAAAACGAACCTATGGTTGCGATGACGTCACTCCTGTCTGTCACTGGTCGTACTTGTTCGTTGCATATTTTTTCGACTTTCGAAATATTTTTTTGAAAAATTTAAAATGGACTATCCATCAACATCATGTGATCATAACAATACCACTAATATTCCGAAAAAAAGCCGTGTTGACTCATGTTTTGTGCCAATCTACTTCAACAAAGTTTCCAAATAAATTGTTTTTGACTGGAATTTCTGACCCGAAACTGAAAAAAAAGTGGTTACAAGCTGCGAAGAGAAATGACAATTATTGTCCAAAGACCATTATTCGATGCTGGGAAGATCACTTTGACGTAAGTCGGCGAATATACTTGTTATATGCTTAATTAATCTGCTTGTACGTAAAAACGCATTAGTAACCTACCTAATACTTACAAAACCTGTCTATAACATATTTTTAATTTTACAGTTGGAGAATGACGCCGAAAATTAGATAAACTTTAAAATGTGTGGCACAATCTTCACATTGGCAGGACTGAACCAAGCTTTGCGTTTCATTTAAAATAACTGTAACACGATAACCTCTCGACCTTTTACTGTACATAATTCTCCATCTCTTTTAATTTGGACATAGCCGATTGCATTATCGCCGTAAGATTTGTAGAAGCCGCTGAATAAAATACGAAGTTTACCAACTACGATTTTTACATACCGTAGTAATTTAGTCCCTTTCATTTCTACACTTAAAAACTCTGCACTTTGGACAAAAAAGTTATAACCATGTCAACACTAACTCTTGGTAAATTCCTGGAGTCTGCTTTGATAAACGCAACTACCATTTTTATTAAATGTAAAAAAAACGCAATTAATATTCCCATAAAATAATATTTACTTTAACAACCATAACCTCAAAGAAGTTGTCATAACAGTAGTGACGTCACTAAACGCTGATTGGTGTTTTAAAATACGTTCTGTTTCAAGTATTTTTAATTCGTAATAATTGTTAAAAAACAACATTATGTAAAATAAAAACGTTGCAGTGGCATTTCTTTTATATTTTTTTAACATTTTAATCATAAAATTTTCGTAAATATTATATATGCATCTTCCCTATTTTGGAACCGGTGGTAGTTTACGGTAGTTAGGGTCAAATAAATAAACTCAAAATTACAAACAAGAATTTTAAATAAAATACTTTATTAAGTAAATAATAAATTCATACATAGACAATAAAACTTAAAAATCGAACAATGAAATAACCAAACGTTCAATAAAAGTCTTTCGAAGGTAGCTCGACAAATTAAATAAAAGTTTTATTCTGACGACGTAGCCTGTAAAGGCTACGAAACGTCAATAAATAAATAAAGTTTTCGTCCATTAACCCGTAAAAACTAGTTTTACTAAATACATCGATTGCTACGTTACTCACATCCGGTTTGTAGTTTTATCAGACTATTCTTAACTTATAACTTAAACATTCTCTATATCTATCTCTTACGGTTTGGCCGCTGAAACAGCACCACGGACGGACGGACGGACGGACGGACTTGTCTAATAGATAAGAGATATTTGATTATTTAAAAGTAAAACTACCACTGTTCTATTTTCAAATTTTCCTCCGCCTTTTTTTGAGAGCCAATTACATTTTTCTTGTCTCATTAAAAAAAGGATCTGCATCGAGAACATTTTCGTGGTATGATTTTTTACGACTTTAAATGTGGCTTAAAACCTGATGAGTCATTTGATCGATTTCGAACTGCTTTTATGAATGAAGGACCTTCAAAAGCAACCATCTACCGCTGGTGTAGCTTGTTCAAACGCGGTCGTCTTACGTTGGGGGATGAACAAAAGAGTAGTCGTCCTACGACGGCTGTCACCGAAGAAAGTGTGTTGGCAGTAAAAAAATTAATTCAAGACAACAGACGAATTACATACAAAGAGATTCAGCATACTCTGTAGATTGGTTCAGAAAATGTTCACAAGATTTTGCACGACCACCTTTGCGTAAGGAGGATAGTTTCCCGCTGGGTGGCGCACAACCTCACCGAAGCTCAGAAGCAGGCCCGTGTGGATTGATGCAGTGATATGATACAAAAATTTGATGCAGGCTCGTCACGGCGCGTTTACGATATTGTGACAGGTGACAAATCCTGGATTTATCAATACGATCCAGAAACAAAGCGTCAGTCGACAGTTTGGCTGTTTCAAAATGAACCGACGCCTACGAAAGCAAAGCGATCGAGGAGCGCAGGGAAAATTTTGATCGCTAGTTTCTTCTAATTAACGGGGTACCTAATTTCAATTTCACTTCGAAAATAAAGCAACATCAACGCCGAATGGTATAGCACAAAATGCCTGCCAGAAGCTTTTTCTGCAATGAGCAACAAGCGACCTAACACCGGGCTCCGCGGGTCCTTCACCACGACAACGCCCCCGCGCACTCTGCGATCAAAACGAAGGACTTCCTGGACTCCACACCAGTCAGAGTCTTGGGACACCCTCCTTACAGTCCTGATTTGGCTTCGTATGACTTCTTTTTATTTCCTAAAATAAAAAATCAGCTCAAAGGGATACAGTTTTCATCGCCGGAAGAAGCGCTAGTAGCGTTTGAAAAGGCCGAAGAGGTGTCTGAGGAGGACTGGAAAAAATGTTTTGAAAATTGGTTCAGACGGATGAAACTTTGCATAGAGACTAGGCGAGAATAAAAATATTTTTTTTCATAGAAGTTAGTTTTTTAGTTTCTCAAAACTTTCTGAGTGTCCCACGTATATGGGCATTCTCCTTTGCATGCTTCTTTTTCCAAATGAAACGAAAGAACTTTCGAAATGAAAAAGAAATTTCGATTTTAATTGAAATAGAATAGGCCTCCAGGTCTGTAAGTATCTTCTTTTGTTTGATAGATTTAAAAACACCTAAATGTCAGTCGATAGCTCATTTAAAAGAAGCACCCAAAGAAAAAGTTTTGTGTTGGGAAAGTTATTACATCGTTTTCACAGAAGAAAAAAGTTTCGGGACTATTTACAATACATAATTGGTAAGTAGTTGATGCTAATAAAATGTAAGTAAGGATGCTAATAAAGTGTAAGTAAGCTTAGACATTCAAAAACAAGTATGTATATTTCAATAAAATGAGTAATTCAACATTTTGAACTTTGCTTAGAATGTGAAGCAGGCATAACACAGCTTTTTATTTTCTCACTGTCCATTAAAGGGTTCATATTATTTATTCTGTCATTTAAATACACATAAATCTTGTGATCTTATTTTGGACAAAGTGACACAGTCCAAGTCTTGTCTATTAGATATGAACATTAGACGGAGCGCTTTTTCGATGATTTATCGGTGGCCAAAAGTTCAGGGTAGGGAACGGCGCCAATGATACTTCTATATTGCAGGTGTCTGAACTCTAAATGGTATCGCGACCGCTTAGCATCAGGTCACTATATGTCACCATTTTTACATAGAAAGAAACTCCTCATTTTTGAAGTCGGTAAAACAAATACGGTCTATATTATACACAGCTCACTGGCAACTGGCTACGGCAGACTGCCCACGTCCCCACAGCTGAGCACAAGTCTTCCTGAATAGGGAGCTTGAGCCATGACCCAGTGCGATTGGTAGATGCTAACCACTGCAGATGCAGCCGGGACCAACGGCTTAACGTGCATTCCGAAGCACGGAGGAACTTGAAACAGTAAATTTTTGGTCACCCATTCGATGATCGGCATACGATTACGAACATTTGCTTAACTTTCACGATTACAGACCGAAAAAGTTGCGCCAATACAGTCCTCCAATAGGCTTATTTTCTAATAGCTTTTTGTTGTCATATGCGGTATGTACCGCAACCCTAATAATTATCCTTTACAAAGGACAATGGGCAAAACACACCCAGCACCGCCAACAATGTAATTAGTATGAATCGATAGATCTATGAAAAACTAGCCTTTTTTATTATGATACCGTAAAAAAACATCTTGGGAGTCAAAAGGCATGACATATGGGCATATTTAAGTAGCTAAATAAATTCATTTTATAGTACCTTTATTTTATATTATTAGTAACCATAATAATATGCCATATCGTACTCTACAACCAGATATACGACAAAGCCTGCCGACCATCCTGCGCTTGCTCTTTCTGAGACACCTCAAAACGGTTTACGGGGGTTGAAGGACTTACAGTTGCAAATAGTCGATTCGTCTTACTTCGTTATGATTATGCGCTTCCTGTCACTTGATTGATTTTTATCTAACACGCTTTGGACATCGGAAGACAATTATCGGTTTTGTCAATTAGTAGGGACGAACTGGAATCATGTTTTCTCCGAAGCGTGGACAAGTTTGGGTGATTTGCGTCGCTTTACAAAGAAGACAATTTACTGTAACGAACAGAATGTTTGAAAACCCCCTACCCATGCGGGGATTTATGGATTTACTCTAGCGCGTCAGAATAACATAAGGGGCACCCTTGAACCTTGTGAAGTACTCCCATAATACATGAGCCCCCCTATGTAGTGTCGAACTAACTAAATTAATTCCCTTGTTTCATTAATGTTCCTTTGTTATAGTACTTCTGCCTATTTTTAACTTAAAATAACTAAAGACTCCCGGGATGAAATTTGATGCGCTTTGGCACAAATGATCATGACTATAATACCTTTCAAACAAGTGTAGTTTAAGCCGTGGCGGACGTGGGTGCAGCGTCCAAACATTTTTGCCCAATGTCCTTTACAAAGTTTTGACAATAAGCTTATTGTCTCAAGTATAAATAATACCATATTGGGCTCTTGTTTTTAAACATTTATAGTTACAAAGGAATCGATAAGTTTAATGCTTATTAGAACTAGTTCTACAGATACATATAAATAAAAAGAGGGTCAAAGCAAGCAATAAAACATTTCTAATATACATAATGGAAAACTTTAATAATTGATATACATTTGTAGTTATAATACAAGTTTTAACATAATACATATTTTATAAGTAATACAATTTTTATACTGGTAAACCTGAAAAGAAGAAATGCCAAATTAATAGTAAAATCATGAATCTATACTTATATACTAATATTACCTAGTCAGGTCATAAATTCTGTCACATGTTTAATATAAAATAATTGAAACAAAGGAGATTGCTCAGCTTCCATACATATTTGGCCTTAAGACCAATAATCATGAAAAATTGTTTACTAGATTCGAATTTATATATAAATTACTGTAGAAACGAATATTATTCACGGACACCCCTGAGAACTTCTATAAACCATATACACTGAACATATTAAAATAATAAAAAACAAATAATTTATATAGTAAACTAGGGAAGTTTGTCTGTTTGTACCGACGGACCAACATCATCTTTCTTATGATTAAATTTTCCGCTGCCTTGTAGCTGTTGACCACTTCCTGGACTGGAGAGTACTGGCGTGTGTCGCTGCCCACACACGAAACATTTTATAAAGTTTTTAAAGATCTTCGCATGGTGACCAATCTTTAAGCACATGCCTTCTTTTTCTTTAAATGAAGTCGTCGTTCCTCTTAAGTCAATTTGCGAAATTTTGTAGCAATTTGTACTATGGTGCGATGTCTTATCACACCAAATGCATTTTAAATTTCGGTTCTCTTTTGTCTCTTTCACATTGACGCTGATAAGATGCAGTGGGTTTTGATTTACAAGTAATTCCGCCGTCAGTTCTGAAATTTGAAGTCAACTCGAGTCTCTGATTGCTTTCCACCTCTCTCTTCAGAAACACAAGAAGACTGTTTAGTTCATCTTTTATATCAACTGACTTTGCTCGTTCCCATACTCTTGGTAAAGCTGACTCGATCATAGGCAGTAAAAAGGCTGCATATTTTTCTTTGGTAACGCCAAATACTTCAAGGGCTCTAAGGTGGCTATTAATATTGTCCTATAAGTTCGTGAGGTTTGAATTGCTTTCTCTCGCTAATATTAGAGATAATCTCTTGCCAGTGGGAAACTTTCCACGAATTGTTTTACTTCCGACCCTTGTTCCATCGACTGGCTTAGGTATTGCAGCTTATCAGTCTCGTCGATTGTCGGATCGGAGTCAACTTTTTTGAATTGTCCCCAGAATGACAACCAATTCTTGATATTGCTATCAAATTTCTTTATTTCTAATATTGGCAATTAAAATAACCGCTTTACATTTTTTAGTTCCGTTTTTAATGTTTTTGCCATTGATGTATCGAACTGTGCTTACAGTAGCGCCCATCTCGTTTGGTATTTACTGGTATCATCCAGCTCTTTCTCGAAATCTTTTTCGTCCCAATTCTCAGATGCGGTAATCAATTCACAAATTTCGCTATCTAATATTTTTATTTGGCGATATGAATCGCTAATCACTTTATGGCATGCAGATGTATTAACATCTGCTCTCTTATTCTGGTCTGTTTTAAAAGAGTTTAGTAGCGACTCAAACGTATTTGCAGACTTGGTAAAATGGCGTCTTATAACGGAGCGCAATTTAATTTTTCGCTCCATGAAATTTCAATAATTACTTTTTGAATTCACCAGATAGTAATGGCCAGGGTCGCCAGATGACAAAGCACTAAATGAAAATACTCACGGAATATATATATAAATTGCTGGAGAGAAATAACACACCACTTTTATCGTCCGTTGTTGTTCATTTTATTTTCTTTAATAATCAAACAGGAACATCAATAATAAAAAAACTATTAGGCAGAGACAATTACATCGGTTGCAATGCATCCTCATTATTTAACACAATGTGTCCCTAATAATAACAAAAATATAAATACCTACTTCAAAATACATGGTATTTTACACTATGCGTATTATTGTAGTGAAAGTATTATTGTAAAAGTTTTTCGGCTTCAGTCTTTGACAAAACTATAGTGAGTAATTAATTCGCTTATTATTAAAAGACAAGTAAAATAACACCTTTATGTAGTAACTTTTTAATCTGAGTAAATAAAAATATTCTAATAAAAATTAAACGAAAATAACAAATTAAGACTTGTACAAAGAACCGGTTAATACGTTATTGAATTCTCGAATTACTACTTACCCACTTTCGCTATGTGTGTTATGTTAGTTTCCAAGGTTTCAATCGTTATTATTATCGACACAAAGGACTTACTTTGTTTATTCCTTTCGCGGAATGAAGCCGAACATTCTCTTTTTCTCCACATCTGTGTAATCTGCGAATTTATTGATGCCGTAAGTTGCCATAGGATTCTTCTTGTTTAACTCGTTTATTTCTTGAAGATTTATGACAAACGCTTCATAATGGACTTTCTTGTCGTATTCGTCTCTATATGATCGATTGTAGTCTTTTATGAACTTTTCAAATATTGCAGGGGCATCATTGAGGTCGTAATGTCGCGGTTTGTCCGCCGGCGCTGCCGACGCCATCGCTACTGCGCACACAAGCAAAACGACGCTGACGAACTTCATGTTGCTCCAACACTGTATTGAACAATGATAAGCGTTTGACGTTGCACTAAACGTTTTATACGTTGCCCTTAGTTATTTATTACCTATTGAAAATCAATTGGGACGAATCAATAACAATCGGTTATAAATCACTTAAGTAGATAAAAAATATTAGTAATGGAGTGCATATAGCATTAAGCGTTTTTACGTTATGTATTGTATCTTAGAACGAATTAAGATTTCATACTAATTATAAGTAATACTTTATGGTAAGGTGACTATTTAACGTTAACGCGGAACAAATATGGTTTATTAACATTATTCTTAAAGAAAAGCTCGTGTTTATACGCCGTCGGTTGGTCTAATTTAAATATCTTATGATTTTTTGGATTCCTCTCCATCCGGAATAGAACTAACTATTATAATAATACAACGTCAAAGTCACGGAAAAAAAATTAAAATAATAAGTTTGGAAAAAGATTAGTTTGTTACTCTGTCATTTTCTGCAATTCACGCATGTGTATTGTCTATTTGTATTGAGATTTACTGAAAATCAGTGAATTAATTAATAATCTAAAATAGATACCTGTTTAATTATACAAAATTTATTGGAAAATAGTGATGAGAAATTATGCTGATGTTTTTGCAAAAAGACGATGGATATCAGTCACCTTTATTGAATGTGAAAGGTACAAGGACTTATGTATACCTCAGATGTATACCTAACGAGGTAGGTACCGATATCAACCTTTAGTTTAAAACTCGGTTTCAACATGTCTTTTACTCTACTCCGATTGGATTTGCTTTTCAATAAAAAGAAACACTCTTAATTTCCCTGTTAAACTTAAAGCCGTAAGTAAGGGTCGATTAAATGACTAGGGGCTGACATTGGTTTCGATTCTGGCATGATGCTCTAAACCTTAACTTAAATTTGACATCAGTGTTTCCCATCATTCTTTATACAGAATGAAAGGGAGAGACTGAGTTAAAATGAAGTTTTAAGTTTAGAGAATCACGCCAGAATCAACACCAATGTTCAGACATTAAAAGACAAAATCCAACAACAACTTAAAAGAAGCAACATGCAGGCCGGTTGTGTGAGGATGACTGGTGTGGCAGGTAGAACTGCTGTATCAGATATCTTCGCGTTTGGACTTCACCGTTACTTAACATCAGGTGGAGTGAAGTAATTTGTCGGACCAATCCATAAAAAAAGACCAGGCAACTAATCTGAACCCATTTTAAATATGCTAAAGTAACCTTCAAGAATTTAGTCAAGACACGGCTCTGTCCACTCCCTCAAGGAATACGGATTTAAATTTTCCTTGTAAAAACCAATGTTAACTGTCTTCATTTCAGATGAGAAAAGTACTAAGAAGAAGTTTATCTCGTTATTATACGTAATTGTTATAATCTGTGCAATAACTTGAGGTCATTCGGAGACGCAATCATTTTCTGGTGAAAATTTACCCCAAAACAGTGAAAGGAAGTAAATCTTGTCTCAAATTATCGAATCTGTGGCGCTAAGTGAAAAAAATTTAGCTGACAACAAACAGTTACATTGCTGAACGATCCCTCTGATCTGCTAAAGATTCCGACCAGCAATAGGGGTGATGACGGGTTACAGTAAACGAAATTCTATTTAGTCCGTCAGTTAGGTGATCAAAAAATAATGGACACGTATTTTTTCTTTGGGCAATCAACCAAAAAATGACAAAGCTATAGCGCGTCAAAGTTTGGGAGTAGGGGCTCATGATGTTACTTTTAAGTGAAAATTGTACCAAAACGTGACGTCATGCGACTTTTCAAATCAATATATCTCTGCAATGTTTATATTATGTGAAGAAAGAAAAAATACGTGTCCAGTACTTTTTGATAATCTACCTGATAAACGAAGAAAAAAAATTAGTCATTATCCGTATTGAATTGAATATCATTTCCACCAAATTATTGTATTTTGGTCTCATTTGAATGTAAGCTCTAACAAGTATATCTGTTACATTCTTACCAATCAAAAATAGTAAAAATAAACGCCTGAAAGACAGCAAATTAGGTGGCTAAGAAGACTTTTTTAATCGACCGATGTGGATGATTTGAACTTCTTAATCAGGAACACTTTGTTGGTACACTTCATTGTGTAACAGAGGGACACGAGACATAAACAAATAAAACAGAAGAAAGAGTACAATAGGCGGCCTTATATATTAACCTATGGTGGAAGAGGAATAATAATATAGATAAATATAGAAGGGTGCAACCAACTGACGCATTGACTTTTAAACTCAGAAAAGTGTCTGGCTGGTGTCTGCCAAGTGGAGGCTCCATTTCCGTACGAGCACTATTTAAAGCTTAGCTCGATGGTGATCATTCTTCGAAATCTTAATCACCCACAAAAATAAACACATGGTGTATATAGATATACCCAATTAGGCACGCAGAACAAGTTATGTCCCCAAACAATTGGTCAGAGGACATTTGTGTTAAACAATGGAGTCATAACTTTCGTGGTAAGCAAGAAAAACAATAATTATGATAAAACCGCTATTCGATTATACTATCAGAACGTGCGTGGCTTGCGTTCAAAAACTGTAATGTTTTTAAATAATATTAATAAGCATGCATTAGATATTGTTGCTCTAACAGAGACATTTTTAACAAGCTCAGTACGCGACGGCGAACTTTTTCCTGCTGGTTACTTTGTGATTCGCAAAGATCGAGCTGGGGACACCGGGTGGGGGGGAGTTATGCTTGCCGTACGAGAGTGCTATTCTGTACAAGTCATTACGGATATAGATGGCCTTACGCCTGATAAAGAATTAATTTGTGCTATTATAAAATGGAAGAGTATAAAACTACTATGTTTTGTTGTGTATTTGCCTCCAAATTATAAAGATGACCAATATTTGAATGTGTTGTCGTGTATAGAAAATGTTATTTGCGCATATCCTAGTCTGAACGTTTTGATTGTTGGAGATTTCAATTTAAATTCCTGCAGTGTAAATGTCAAAAATCAGTTTGACAACTTCTGTGAATTCTGTCAATTACGAGAAAACAACCATGTATTAAATAATCGTGGTGGCATGCTGGACCTTGTCTTGAGTGATCTTGTGCCCGGTCAGGTGATGGTGTCAGCTAACGATGAACCTCTGGTTCAAGTGGACAGTTATCACCCTCCCCTCGATATATCTATTAAACTAAAAATAGGGACAGGCCCTTTGCAACAGGTTCCGCGACCGCCAGTTTCTCATTCGGACACGTGTCCTGACTGGAACTGGCGCAAAACAGACTTTTCAGCATTGTACAGTGCTCTAGCTACTATCGATTGGTCAGATTTATTAGAAATTAGCGATGTTGACTTAAGCGTGAACTTTTTTTATGAGAAACTATATGATTGCGTAAATTTATATGTTCCACTTAGGAATAGGTCATCGCATAATAATAATAACAGTCAATACAAATACCCTAAATGGTACACGACGGAAATCATATACAACTTAAAATCAAAATATTTTCATTTGAAAAGGTACAAATTAGAAGGCAAGGAGTTTAATAGAGAATTGTATAAGTACTATAGGTGGCATACAAAAAGGCTTATTGACTACGCTTATCAACAACACGTGCAGACTATACAAAAAAATATAATTGACGAACCATTAAAGTTTTGGGAATATGTTAAAGATAAGAGAAAAGACAGACGATTTATAGACTCATTTACACATAATGGGGAGGTATTTTCTGGGCAAGAGGCTGTTGAAGCGTTTGCTCGGTATTTTGGTACAGTGTTTCTGGATGAAATGCCACGTTTAGATACTGACGAAGCTGCACGAAAGGCTCGATCAATAGCCGGCGCGAAATTAATATCTATCTCGACCATAGATAAAGAAGACCTAGATAAAGCCGTGAAGCGCCTTAAGTTTCGATCATCAGGCGGACCTGATGGTATCCCGATATTCGTGGTCAAAGATTGCATTTCAATCTTCAGAACCCCGTTGTTGTACATGTACAATCTTTCACTAAGTCAGGCTAAATATCCAGATTTGTGGAAGCTCTCTAGGGTGACACCAATTCCAAAAGGAGAACCCGGTTCTAATATTGCAGCCTATAGACCAATAGCCGTACTATCCGTTTTTGCCAAACTATTCGAGGCAATAATTAACCATCACATAAGTCGGCAGATAGGTGATCAATTACACGAGTGTCAGCACGGCTTTCGAAAAGGGCGATCCACTACCACTAATTTGATACCCCTGGTAGATTACGTCTCTGCGGAAATGGACGCCGGGCGGCAAGTTGATGCGGCCTATTTTGACTACAAAAAAGCTATTGACCTTGTAGATAATGATAAATTATTAATAAAGCTATCGGAAATAGGTTTTACTCCCTCACTACTGCATTTTTTTGCAAGCTACCTCAAAGATAGATGTCAGTATGTTAGGTTGAACGGATACGAATCTAAACACTTCTTTACGAGGTCTGGGGTGAGTCAAGGTAGCACGTTAGAACCTACCCTCTTTCAAATCATGATAAATGACTAGCCTAAAGTATTGTCTTTCACAAAATGTTTGTTATTTGCTGACGATTTAAAAATATATAGGTGTATAAGTAGTAAAGGGGATTCGGATGCCATGCAGAGGGATATTGACGCTGTAGTAGCGTGGAGTGATTCGAATCGGTTGACATTCAATAGCAACAAATGCAAGACAATAACTTTTACGCGGAAGCGGTCCTGTATTGAAAGTATTTATAAAATATATGACGCTCCTTTGGAAAGAGTTGACAAAATAAGAGACTTAGGCTTAACATTAGATATTAAGATGGACTTTCACCAACACGTGATAAACGTATGCAAATCGGCGAGTAGGATCCTTGGATTCATTATCAGAACTTCCTCCGAATTTAGTAGTTCTTTAGTGGCTAGAGTATTATACAATGCCTACGTGCGTAGTAAATTGGAATATGGGGCAGTAATTTGGGACACCCACGAAAAAAAATATTGCCTCATGATAGAAAAGATACAACGA